AACGAAGGGTTTGCCATCGCTCCAGAGTGGGGCACAAATTGCTTTCCTCAGCCTTCTGATTTTCCTGCTGCAAGTAGTAGTAATGGTGAGGGTGACCCCCAGAGGGCGTTCGATCCTATCGCCTATGAGAGCACTTGCAAAGAGTATTTCCACGCCGCTCAAGAGCTGGGAAGACATGTCCTTGGAATGATAGCTGAAGGCCTGGGAGTTGACACAGATTTCTTTGAGGGATACCTCGACAAGCAGAATTCCTTTTGCCGACTCACCCACTACTTTCGACCATTGAAAGATGGTCAAGAGAAAGGAATAAACGGAGAAGAAGAGCCTCTGGAAGAAGGAGCGGCAGCACATACTGATTGGGGTGCACTGACGCTGCTCATTCAAGACACTGTCGGTGGACTACAAGTCTACGATCGCTCCACAGGAAAATGGCACGAGGTAACGTCAATCAAGTTAAGACATCCATTCATAGCTGAGGCATGGACAGGTACCCCCTTATCCCATCGGAACAGCTATCGTCTGCAATATTGGCGACCTCCTAGGCCGATGGACTAACGACACGTATAGAAGCACTCTTCATAGGGTCATAGCACCCAAAAGAGGGGTGCATAGATACAGCATACCATTCTTCAACCCAGGTAAGTCCTCGACTTGTACGGGCGCCAGTGTTCGCTCGCCATCATTGTTTCACTCAATTGGCCGTACTTTTGCTGAGAACATTTCAATTCAAGGGAATCCCTCTTTCACAATCAAAACTATCCCTACATGTGTTCCTGAAGGGAGCGAGCCTCGATATCCCCCCACCTCTGCGCCATATTGAAATACCCTGTCCAATAGAATCGCATTGCGGCCACTTTTATCCTATGTGTGCTCACCATAGGTAAACTCTCATTTGATATTCATCGTCGATGATTCTGATGCACTGTCCACTTGAAGGCGGCTTATTCGTGAGCTCGACAGACACATAGTAAGTTTCCCTCTAATAAGCCATGAGACGTAGCCCATGCTTATTGCCATGATATAGTTGTCGAGCAGCACCATGGATCGCATTTTTTGGAAGCAACGTTCTCCTTCTCGTCGTGAACTGTGAGTCGTGGGCATCAGTCCCCCCCCCTTGACCCAAGCTAACCCAAGAACGCCAGTATCCCTCCTCATACGAATCAATGCGCTCTGGTACCGAAATCGAAATGTCATATACTTTTCGAGACTGTTCTTTCTCATCAACTTTCTCACTCAAATGACCCTCCAGCCCTACATCATCTCCACCGCCATTTGCAAGGCCTATACGTATCCATTCACAGGCTGCTCCGTCACCCTCACTTTCAAGCAG